AAAAAGTCTCAATAAATTTCAAAAGACAGAAATCTCAAAAAGTATATCTCTAATGACAGTGGAATTTGATTAGAAATCATTAAGAATCAGATATATAGGAAAAATCCCCAAATATTTGGAAATAAAACAACATACTTCTAAACAATGCATGGTGAAGAATAATTCTTAAGGGAAGTTATAAAATATTTTGAATTATTGATGATGAAAACACCATGAATCTTTATTTTTATTTATGAAATGTAGTTGAAGCAGGTATTAAAAAGAAATACCTTTGCAGCATTAAAATACTTGTACTAGAAGAGAAGAAAGACTTAAAGCTAATAATCTTAATTACTTCCTTAAGTATCTGGAAAAAGATCACATTAAAACTAAAGTAAGGAAATCAAAGAAAATAGTAAAATTAAGAGCAAAAATCAATTAAAGAATAGATAAAAATAAAATTAACAAATCTAAATTTTGTACTCTGAAGAGACTAATAAATTAATGGACTCCAGCAAGACTAATCAAGGAAAAAACCCTGAAAACACAAACTACCAATATCAAAAAAGGAAAAAGGGAATATGATTACAGTTCATAAGACATTGAAAGAATAGTAAAGAAATATTACGAACATCTGTGAGAATACACTCGACAACTTAGAAGAAACAAACATGTTGAAAAACACTAGTTGCAAAAATTAACACAAGAAATAAAGTTGAAAAAACATGAATAACTCTATATCTTTTAAATAATTGAATTTATAATTATAAAGCTCCCTACAAAGAAAACTCTAAGCCCTCATGGATTCTCTGATGAATTTCTATAAAAGTTTCATGAAATAAATAAATCTACACAAATTATTTAAGAAAAGACAAAAAGAGGAAATGCTTAAATACTTTCCAACTCATTTAACAAGGCCAGCAGTACCCTGGTAGTAAAACCTGACAAAAATATTTCAAGAAAAGATAGCGACCAATCTCTCTCCTGAATATGGACTTAAACTTGTTTTAACAAAATATTATAAAGTCAGATCTAGGATTACATAAATGACCATATCTTATGACCAAGTGAAGGTTTATCCTAGGAATGTAAGATGGGTTTAGCAGTTAAAAAATCAGTTTACCAAATTATCAGAAAAGGAAGAAAGACCATATAATCATTTTAATACATGCAGGAAGAAAAGATTTTGACAAAATTCAACACCCGTGCATTATAAAACACACTTAACAAAGTAGGAATACAAGCACACTTCCTTAGTCTGAAAAAGCACCTACCAATAGCCTAAAGTTATCATATTTAGTGATAAAATATTAAACATTTTCCTCCTAAGATCAGGAAAAAGGCAAATATGTCTTTTCTCACTACTCCTATTTAACACTATATGGGTAGTACAAGATAATATAAGTAGAGAGAAAAACATAAAAGGCATAAAGGTTGGTAAAGGTGAGATAAAACTCTTTATTCATAGACAAAATGACTGTTTACAAAAACCACAAAAAACAAAAGAACGTATTTAAAAAACTACTACAAATTATGAGTAACTTTGAATAGTTGCAGGGATACAAGGTCAGTATTTTAAAAATCAATTATATTTCTACCTATAATAGGGAAAAAACTTAAATCCAATATATATCATAAAATGCCAAATATTTAAGAATAAACTTAATTAAAGGTGTGAAAGCTCTAAATTGAAAAATTTAGTGTTCTAAAACACAAAAAAGATCTACATAAGAGAGTTACAATGTTCATGGATTAGAAGACTCAAAATTGTTAAAATAGCCATTTCTCTTCAAATTGAACTATTGATTCAATGCAATCTCAATAAAAAATCTCAGGCTTTTTTTGTTGGAAATGACTAGTTGATTCTAAACATATATGTGGAAATGTATAGAATACAAAATAGCAAAAACAATCATGGAAAAAAAGAACAAAGTTGGAGAACTTACATCATTTGATTTCAAGATCTAGACAGTATACTATTAGTATAGAGATAATTGACTAGATCAATGAAATGGAATAAAAAGTTCAGAAATAGACATATACTTCTATGACCCACAGACTTTCACTAAAATGCCAAAGCTAATTAATTCAGAAAGGAATAATTTTTTTATCAATCTCCACTGGAATAACTGCATAAACAGGTGAAAATAAATGCATCTTAACCCCTATCTCACACTGTGCATAACAATTAATTCAAGATCCTCATAGACCCACACGTAAGCACCAAAATTGTAATGATTTTCAAACTTCGTGTTAGCAAACATTTCTTAGGCACAGAAAGCACTAAGCATAAAAGAAAATATTGATCACTTAGACTTTATCAAAATTTAAAAGGCCTATTTATCATAAGATTTAATCAAGAAAATAGACAAGTCACTGACTGGGTGATAATATTCATAATACATAAAATCTGGCAAAGGTCTTATATCCAAATCTATTTTAAAAGCAAATAATGCAAGCATACCTAATGAGCAAATGACTCAAAGAGACACTCCAAAAAAAAAGAAGATACGTGAGTTACTAATAAGCACACGAAAATATATTCTGCATCATTAGTCATAAGGGCAAATGAAAGCCACAGTGAGATCACAAGAAAAGCTAAAATCCAGACAACTAATAATATTAAATGTTGGTGAAGATTTGGACAAATGGGACTCTCGTACATTTCTGGTGGGAGTTTCAAATGGTACAAAGATTCTAAAACTGTGGTCCCCAACCCCCAGCCCATGGCTCGGGACTAGTACCCAGGCTGTTAGGAAAACAGGGCCTCACATCCACTGCCTGAGCTCTTCCTCCCCTTCCTCTTCCATCCTCCACCCCTTGCCTCCCCCTTCCAATCCCCATTCATGGAAAAATTGTCTTCCTTGAGACCGGTCCCTGGTGTCAAAAAGGTTGGGGACATCTGCAAACACTGCTAGACAGTTTGTTATAAGGTGAAACATAGACCTGTCCTATGACCTAGAAATTCCACCCTTTGGTATTATGCCAAGAGATGAATACATATGGCCACAAAAATCTTTATAACTGTTTTATTCATGATATCTAAAACTTGGAAACTACCCAAATCTCCAATGGAAGAACGATTAAGTTGTGGCATGTTAATTGAATGGAATGCCACTCAACAGGAGAATGACTACTATTATTCTCATCAACAGGGATAGAACTCAAAATATCACATTGAATGAAAGAAGCCAGAAGCAAAAGCACATGCCTTGTATGATTACATTTTTTAAATTATGATTCCATTTTGATGAAGTTCAAGGAGAAGCAAAACAAATCTCTACAGTATAAATCAGAACAGTGGCTGACTACTAGATTGACCCTGTCTCTATTAGGAAAAGAACTCCTTGTTTTTCAGATTTTGCATATTAATAGCTGAATAGAATATATTCCAAATACCTATTTTTGTAATCTCCAACATTTTCTTAAAAGTTGAGATACTGTCAACAAATTGTATCTTTTAATATCAGTGTTAATTTTTCAACTCACTAAATGCTTTATAACATATCTTTAAGATAAATAGAAGCCCACTAAATAGTTCTAAATAAAACTTATTAGGAATTATTACTTTAACTGCTTTTCTTGCATGCACAATTCACATATTTAAAGACTAATTAGACACATGTTTAAGGACATGTTAAGGTGACAGGTATATAGAGGACTACAGGTCCCTCAAAAGTGTATCCTAAAATTTAGGAGCAAAGTCAAGATGTTCCTCTGGAAAACAGATAACATACAACTGACAAGATTAGAAAAGATATCATACTGTGATTTGTAGATCATTAGTGATGCTAAATGCAAAGAGATAGTTCAGATAACCAAAATTATTTTTAAGAAAGGCACCAGATACCCTAAAATGAAAACGAATAATGTAGGATGAGAATCCATGATATTTAATAATAATACAAAGAAATTGGGAAGCAACAATTTGTTTGGAAATTTAGGATAGGTAGAAACCCTAATGTCTTTGTCTCCAGGATCAATAAGATACCATCTGAATCCTTAAGTGGAACATTTGAAGTGTTAGGATTTAATTGCTATTACTTGGGAAGAGGCCTAAAAATTAGCAGGGTGAGGAGGCTATGATAAGGCCTTCTCTAGAATGAACAAGTGGGAAGGCAGTTATCTTTCCTGAAATAAATAAATGTGATCCTATTTCTCATTTATTATGCTAAATACAGTAAAGCCTTTAACAAATGTGTTATTAAGCCTTTAGCTGATCTAAGTGTACCTCTATCTGTTTTCTTGGTTCCTTTGAGAAACCATGCAAAATCTTCATCCCATGTTAATTACCAATTTAATCAGTCAATGCTAAAAGAAAATCTTTTGCTCTAATTATAAAAGACAGTTGCTGTAAGCACTTGACATGATGAATACCTTTCCTCATCTTGGGCAGGTTATAATTTATTAAGCACAAATATGAGGAAAAAAACCCAGGTAGCGTGCTTGGTCAGCAGTGACCCCCAATTAAAACAGGTGATGTTTTCTGGATTTAAGAATAACAGCAATATGACTCCAATTAGCTGTCAAATCATCTGGCAAAACAGCTGTTACATACATGGAAAATCACTTGGCCTTCTTGCTCATTTTTTCAACTTTGTCTTTATTTTTACGTCACTTAAAAAGATAGCCCCTGCATTTATATCAAATTTAAAAACAGGGAAACTAATTTGCAGTGTTGGAAGTCATGACTGTGGTTAGCTGTGCTTAGGTGGAGGAGGGGGTGTGACAAGAGTGGCACAGGCATTGGGGACATCACCTGGGGTGCTAGTGACACTCTTGTTTCTTAACCGGATATGCTCGCTTTGTGAAAATCCATCGGGCTGTGGACTTAGAGGTCGCTCATTTTTCAGATTGTATGTTACACTCAAAAAGCTTTACCCTAAACTATACATTCCTTCCAGAAATATATGGAATTACCTCAACATTGTGTCAAAACATAAAGGTTTTATACTAATGTCCATAAGAAATAAATGTTTTCTTATAAAAACTCTTCTTCATTAATTCTCTCTAAGCACTGAGAAAATATAAGTGAACATCTAAAATGTTTATTAAATAGGGATTTGAATAAAATGGGAGCATAAACATTAGCTTTGTGTTTATCATCAGATTTAGAAATTTATATGCTACTTACCAAAAAGGTGTGTGCTCTCTCAATGTTGTGGTTGTCTCCTCATTAGAGCTGACAAGCAAAGGTATTGGTTGTGATTCAAGCCTGGAGAAACAGCACAAGCAGAAAAATCACTCTACTATAAGGCATTTATTTTACTATAACTGTCTATATGAACTCTACTATATTGCATTTATCCACAGAACTATAAAATGATAACCCGTTCACCTAATCATTCATGTAACGAGCAATTGTGGAGTATCTTTGCATGTGCCAGGAGGTAGGGATGTGTAGCTGGATAGTGTGTAACTTTTTCTGAAGGAAATCAAGTACACAAAGAAGTGTAAGAATCGCACAGACTGGTGAGTGGCACTAAAGAGGTATAGACCAAATGTCCTGGGAGTGGAAGGTGGAAGGGGCTACCGCCACCAGGGAGAGCAGGTGATGCTTTGTGGAGGACATAGGGCTTGGGCTGAGACGGAGGATGAGTGTGGTCTCTTCAAGGTGCTGAGCAGGAGCTGGAGCAGGAAGAATGGACGGTGGGGGCAGCCCAGGTACATGAGACAAAATTACTAAGTTACAGAGTTGGAACATTATGGAAATAAGAGGGGAACTTCATACATTTCAGTTTGATTGGAAAAATTTTTCAGAGGGATGGGAACTCAGGTGAAACTTCAGGGCCAGTGACTTGGCAGCCCGCCCCTAGCAGCAGAGAGGCACAGGAAGGAGAGCCTACTCTATTTTTTTTTTTTTTTTAATATCATGGGTTGGAGACTCTTATGAGCTTCCTAAATCCATCTACTGTGTTTTTGTTTTGATACAATTTACAGCTATGGTAAAAAGACTACCACAGCCCTGGTTCAGGTGTGGTCTTTAGCTTCAGAAAGGCCACTGGTCATTAGCTGGCTAACATTGCCAAATCTGTTGCTTGTACAGGCCTGAGAGCTCTGGGTTTGCCTAGTAGAGTCCTCACCATTTAAGCTCTTCCTACATACAGGACCTGTGCCATGCAGTTCTAACATGGTACAATACAACTGCCACGAAAGAAGTGATTGCAGGGTAACTGCCAGACTTCTTCCACTGTGTAATCTTCTTTGCATACTGGGCACTCTAAACCCATATCAACTTGTTCCTGAGTTATTGTCACTATTGGAAGTCATGTGATCTTTTCCTTGTCAGCTGGTCAGGACGCCCTGTGTTTTCCAGTTGTCCTAAAAGCTGGGTTACAATGGCATCGAGTCCTGTCTGACCCTAGGCATAGCCCCCAGGGCTGGAGAGCAGCATCCTGCTCCAGGAAAAAGTATGTGGACACAAAATGAGTCCCTTACTAGGCCCAGGGACTGAGCAGTGAATAAGAACAACATGAGCCCAGCCTCACGGAGCTCCCCATTTATTGAGACAAAGGACTACAAGGGATTATAACAATGTATGCCAAGGAGTAGAGGTTTTCTGGGAGTCTGTAGTGGAGGAACTCATCTCATCTAAGAGTCAGAGATGAAAAACAGTTTCAAGTCTCAGAGAAGCTATCACTAAGGCAAAGAAGTTAGAAATCGCTGAGGGACAGATTGCATAACACAACGGGGGAGGAACATGGACAGACTCACATTTAGAAAGGAAGAAACGATCAGAGAAGAGGGAGTCTCAGAAGAGTCTAGCATTGGGAAAGACAAGGGACAAAAGTTTTATGGAGGAGGCTGTGCTCAAGCCCAGAATGCTTTAACAGTCAAGCAGGGTTAATACTGAAAAGTGGTTATTTCTCATGTTTGTTGACTTGGATACATTTGAAAGTATTTACAGAAATCATGGACAACGGAGCTGGCCTGATATTCAGTTATTATAAGCAAACCTCAGTAGCAATTTTTGCAGCTGATGCCTGTATCTGTGCCTATTCCATACCAGTTGTTAAAAATTTTGAAAATCCCCCTGAAAAGGGGCAAGATATAATATGCGAAGTAGTTATTTCCATGAAATGGCTCTCTTAAAACTTCTTAGAGTATTAGATCAGGGGTCTCTTGCAAGTGATTAAACTTAGTGTATTGAGGTTCCTGCAGGTGATTAAAGTGTTTCTCCCTCCTCTGGCGAGGTTACACCTCCTCTATGAACTGGAGGTATCTGGACTTGGAACACTCTAGAGATAGTCATGACAAAAGATGTCACCGAGGGCTGCAATGTCCAAGAAGAGGAGCTGGGCACAGTGTCCTCAACCCTGCCTTGAGTGCTAAGGTCCACATGGAGCCTGTTCAGCTCACGCTTCCAGGATCAGCTGAGGATATGGACGTGGCTGTGCAGCCAGAGATGCCAACAGCCAGGGGTCCTGCCAGGGCCAGACCATAGCCAGACTACGAATCCCGGCTGAGCAGGACATTTGGGATTTAATAATGATGACGGTAACAATAAGGAGAGGGTTAACATTCATTGAGAACTAGCATGTTAGCACCATCCACAACAGGCTAACAGGCAGGTACCATTTCAATTCAAATACTACAGATGGGGTAACTGACTATCAGAAAACTTAAATATGTTGAAAGTCACCTTTCAAAAAGCCAACTAGTATCAGTGTTCTTTTTCTCCAGGTCACAGCCAGAACTACTGCTCCTTGATTCTCCTGATTGCTGCAAATGTCCCAAATTCAGATTCAAGTCCCATGTTATGGTGACATCTTGGAGCACACTGGGGCTTCCCAAGCTGGAGCATGCTGGAAGTGGACTCCTGTGTTACAGTTGGGTATAGTTTCTAACCTTCTGGAAAATTTGGAATGTTTATGTCGTTGTGGAACACACATATCCATGGATTATGTTTCACAGTTTACATAGCAGAGATATCCTGTTTCTTCACATTTCTGGTTATTGGGTGCCCCACTGGGAGCCTGGGGTGGTGGGGTGGGCAGCACATTGAGCTGTGGCTGATGGCGCGGATGGGGACTAACTAATTCCCAAAGTTAGGTTCAAGGCCTCACAGGTCTTTGTGACTGCAGAGTCCGCAGATGCAGCAGAGTGGCGACTGCACACACTGATGCTTCCGGAGCCATCAGGACCAGAGCTCGGAGCTGGGGGATTTCTGTCTCCTTCTCGCTTGTCTGTTGGAAATGGTTACGGAGGAACATTGGCTTCACCGCATTTGGGAGAGGCTGTGGGTTTGGAATTCCAAATGGAAACAACTGAAATAAGTTTCCACATGGAAACGTGTGTGCCAAGTTCCATAGTACTACAGATAAGATATTCTTTTCTAGTTATCTTATTGGCTTTGTAGCCAGGAAACATCATCTAATATTGTTGCAGCCAATAATCCAATAGCATATTCCATATTTTCCCACTGCCACATGTTTGATGCACATGTCATACTTTGTCCTCACAACAATGCTGTGAAGCCCAATTTTGTTGCCTGGAACGTGTTTTTTCTACTTAACCATGATGCTTCTCCAGAGACAAGAATTCTTGTCTGCAGGTCTGCACCTAACTTCTTGTATACCCTTGAGGAGCTCTCTGAGCCACCACTGTTAGTTAGGAGATTCTTACATTATTCTCTGAGGACATCTCTGCTATTTAGGGTTGGTGGTCAGCATAGTCAGAGATGCTGTTGGCTAACCATGTTTGGAGGAGCTTTTACTGTTTGTAGTTGCTAAAACTTTTGGGAAATATGATATATCTATTCTATATATCTGCACATATCCTAATATCAATGATGATTGCCATTAAAATTTTCAATACATTATTTTATTTACTCAAATACCATAGTGAAGCATTACCTATTAAGAACCCCAATATCTAGATAAACACACTTTGTCATTGTAATCGCTTAATCTGGATACACTGATAGCATCTTTTCTTTGTTGCTTGTAATTATATAATTTTTTAGAATAAACGAATTATTTACCTAAGTGATCATAGCATCACATACCACTGGTGAAACACAGTTCTCTTTCTGAAAGCAGCCCCTCTCTCAGAGGGCTCTCCAACAATATGCAGTGATTCAGGACTTAGCCTTCCTAAGGATCATAGGTTTGAATAAGTCACTAAAAAAATCATTACTAAAGCTACAAATTGTAACTATGTAATTGCAGTGAATTCTCATTCTTTTAAAATTATGGAATTTTTATTAAGTGCAGTTATATGTCAAAGAAACAACCCAAGGCAGGGTCTATAGAAACTAAGTAATTGAATGATGAAGCAGTTGGTTTGGTTTTTCAGTCCTTCCTAATTATGAATTAGGCTGATACATTGTTTATCACCAGAGAGTTAACAAGAAGGATGTTGGAAACTTCTAGATTGACTGTGACTTGGGTGATTTAGCTATAGCTTACAGTTAATAGCTTTGATTTCTTGAAAATTACAGAAGATAGAAATAGTATGTTAATTTATGGAGAATAATTACTTAAGGGTGCTATTGAGTTTAGCCATGCAATCAAGATTATGGTTTCCAAATATCAAGTGAATTAAAATAATCATTTACTATTAACTTTTCCATTGCAAAAACTATTTTCAGCTTTCAGGAATTTGATACCCCTTGAAAATATTTAGAAAATAACTAAGATCTATGGATTTAAAGAAAATGGATCCAGCATAAAACTTAAAGCCATTCATATTCTGTGCAGGTTTATAAACAGTGGTAACCAAACTGATTATTTAAAATGGCCTTAGGGGAGAAGAGAAGATGGAAGAAGGGAAAAAGCAGAATATAAATGTATGTGTTGCCACTGAGCTGTATACTTAAAAATGGTAAAGATGGTAAATTATATATGTATGTTTTACCTCAATAAAAAATTTTAAGTGGCCCTAAACTGACCAATGCTGATAGATACATATTTTTCTATATTCTGAGGTTTTTTCCAATCAAGTCTCCTTAAATATATATCTTTGGGGGGATTCTGATAAAAATCATAATACAAGTGGAAGAAGAGTGCAGTGACCAGATTTCTAAAGCTCTACAGACCTAGGGACGTGCATCATATCTGAAGATCAGAGGAAAAAAGTGTCTATGATGAAAATAGGCAGAGTGGAAAAAAGTAGTTATTTCTGTCAGTGCTAAAAAGCTTAGAGAGTCACTGATTAAGGTCACTGCCAATTTTGTCAATGAGGAAAGTGCTTTAGCAAGCCTTCAGCCCCTCA